AGAAATGGAAAGCACAATAGTATCCCTTTATTCTGGAGTGGCATGCAATTATTTCTTTCCATGGTTTGCATGGCTTGCTATGCAATTGGGACTGAGGGGGATTATTAAAAAGTCTAGGAGCATAACGTTGTATGAGAAGCTCAAATATCACAGGCTGCGTTAACCTCCCTCTCCCTTCAAATGCTATGGCACAACTTACTCTCATATCCTGGCATCAGATTCTGCACATCGACTAGGATCCTAACAAATGACTCCTTCCATTCACTGAGGGAGTTGGGATCCAATGGAATCTCCTACTGGAGCACAGATCCAGGGTGGCAATTTTCAATTATCTCCCCTTCACTTTGTCACCTCTTGTTCTGCTCCACAGGGAGCCCCAAACCTTTGGAGATTTTTTTAGTGGGACAAAGGAGGAATCTGCAAAAAGTGCTGTTCCCCTTCTGCTGTTGAGAGCATCACGTTAGCAGGATTCTGCTCATGCAACACTCCTGCCCGTGGAGCCTTACAGTGGATCTAAGCTTCTGTTTCCCTATCCTGCTACACATTATTTGCTGCATTATTTACAGAAAAAGCCCAATGTGATGGCATAAAGACACAGGACGAATGATGCAGATAGCAAAGAAGAGTTCTGGCAACAGCATGGCCATTTTGGGTGTGTTTCTTAGCATAAATTCCACTTTAAAGAGAGAGGAGTAAGAAATGTAAGAAAATGAATATCCCTGCACTTTTATGATTGCATAAAAACCTATCATACGTCGATGCGTTTCTAAGTAGTGCCAGAATTGTTTATGTTCCGATACAATTTCAATGCCTCCATTAGTAAAAGCTATTTAATCAATGGAGCTAAATTGCATCCATCTTGGCAGGCCTAATATATCCCTGGGGCGTGTTCCAGCAATAGTCAATATATTTAAGGTCTGTTTAAAAAGCCTCTGCTTTTACAAAGGAAGAAGAGCTTCCAGTTAGAAGTTGGCTGCCTTTTATGCTTTGTATGAATAGAGGTAATTTAACTGGCAATCAGAAAAGAGAATTGTTTGAGTTTACTACAACTGTTGTTCGCATGGTTTTGATGAATTGCTTGTTTTTTCCCTTGTGCATTTCGAAACTACCCTGCTCTTGCAGTGTTGTAAGTGCACATTGTTCATGTTATTTTATATTATTGTGAAATTGTGGGTAGAACAAAAGAAGGTTAGCAGGCTATGAAGATTCCTGAAGCTGCATAATACTGCCTAGTAACAACTTAGACTATCTGGCTTGGTACTTTTGATGCTGACTGCCAGTGACCCTCGAGGATTCCAGACAGGAGACATTACCTATCCTAACTGGAGATGCTGTGAATAGAATCTAGGGCCTTCTGCATACAAAGCAGATGTCCTGCTACTGAGTTATAGGCCTTCCCCAGCTGTTAAAACTTATTATATTACTTATTTATTTATTAGATTCATATACAACCTTTATCTTCCTAGGATCTCATGTGGTGTACGTGGTTCTCCTCCCCATTTCATCCTCACAACAACCCTGTGAAGTAGGTTAGGCTAAGAGATTGTGACTGGCTTCATGGTCAAGTGGGGATTCACACCCTAGTCTCTCAGGTCCAAGTCCAACACTTTAACCATTATGCCAACACTTGCTAGTCTGGTCAGATGCATCCTTCTGTTAAGTAAGTGATTTAGTGATTTTGCACTAAAGAGCGGGTTTTGCCTGAGAAATCAGAAGGGCAATGGAGAAACGGTTCAGATGGGTGCCTAGAAAGTGTGGGTCAAGCAGAAAACTGCCCAGACACAAGCTTTCCACAAGTGGAAGTGTGGGCGAGCCTGGAGAGTTGAGTTGTGTTCTGCCAGCATGTTAAGATATTGGCTTTCTCCCTAGGAATCTGATATTTGAGCAGGAAACTTTGGACTATCTGCTTGGCCACTGTTAGAACCAAATGCTGGACTAGATAGGTCTTTAGTCCAATCCAAGAGGGCTCATCTTAGGTCTTTAAGTTAAATTGTCTACCTGTGCTTAACCAGTATATACATAAATAAACTCAAATATTCCAAAATGCGAATAAGTCTCCCATTACCTCCTTCCAAAGGGAATCAAACTTTGCTATATGCATAACAATTCTGACAAATATAATATTGGTTAAAAAGTATGTGCAGTCTATAAAATAGCTTATGCTTTTCTTTAGCCCATATCAACATAAAAACAGATTAGAAAATAAGTTTAGATATCAAAATTCTCAACGGAAAATAATAATCTATCCCAGCATCTTTTCTAATGAAACTTTCAGCCCAGGGACATGATTTCAGCAAGATGTGAAAGAGAAAATGATTTTCACCAGTGTCTGGATCATAAATCAACTTCACAGCAAATCATCATAACTTGTCTGTGACCATGATTGCAGCAACGTGAGCCATACATCATTGCAAAAAATAAATGGCAAAAGTAGAGCTGGTTTTATCCTCAAACAATGAACATTCACTGTTTTCTGCATATATGACTTCAAAAGCATTGCCAACTATAGACAAAAGCACTTGGCGGGAACTCTCCATCCAAAGTTCAGCACCTGTACTAGTAGGTGGAAACCCAAAGAGATACTTTTGGACACCCACTTGGGGTTGGGTATCTATTTGAACAGTAGGTTTCTCCTGCTAGACCACTACTTAGTTTCTAAAGTAGTTTGCAATGAAATTTTGGCAATGGGAACATAAATCCAAAGATTCCTTGGGATTACAATGACTAGATGTTGCAAAACTATTTGGATGCTGGTTCAGACCTATTTATATTAAGCATGCTGCTCTGTTACAGTTGTTCTGTTTCACACCCCTTGTGTACATATTTGTCATGTTCAAATGTTGTGTGTGTTTCTTATTCCTCCCTTCAACCATTCCTCACCCTCCTTCCACTCCCTTTTTCTTTTGGGGCATATGTACATGTGGAGCAAAAATCCCAGGATGTACTGTTATTGGATACCATGTATTGTGTTGGGTTTCAGAGGAAGAGCACTACTTAGCCGGGCCTTCAGAAACAACCTCATTTTATTGCGGTATAGCGGGACTGAACAACCATATTTTATAGCATATAACTGGGCTGAGGCAAAAGCTCTACCCCGAGTGGTCTTGTACAAAGGCTTAAATGCATACTGTTATTCAAATGTGGCTCCAGCACGCAATATTTCTATTCAATGGATTTTTTGCAGCAAGGAGAAATGCAAGTTAATGCTTGTGGAAAACTTGAATGCCTTAGCAACACACAATACATTACCATCAGGAAGCTCTCCAACTGGAACTCTTCCACTGACTACAAAGGTCTTGTGAATTGCCTCTTCCAAACACTATGCAGAAGATACTATGCAGAAGATGAGATATTGCTGCAAATGGCTGCTTATCCAGTTCGGGATGGGAGGTTGTTGTGGCTCATCACAGCAGGCTCAGATCTCCCAGGAGCAATGCTGGGGCTAGGCAGCAAGCAGTTGGGGAATCCCCTGGTCAGCCACTTTGATTGGCAGACTTTCCTGCTCCCTGAGCATCCAAATCCTGGGCCAATCTGACTGCAGTGAGTGGGTGGGGCTTGAATTGGAGTGGACTGGAGTGGAGCAGTGCAGAAGATGAAATATTGCTGTTATGCCCCAGCTGCAACAAAACATGCCACTCCCATATCAATCTCTCCAACCACAGAAGGCATTGTAACTCTTCAGCAGTTTGACTTCACCCCCAAAGATGCACTTTTCCATTGTCTCCCGAGACAGACGGATGACAACAAGATGTTTTCTCATTGTCTTTGATCACTGATGACAGGCCCTGGTAACCATAACTAAAGCACCTGCATTGGTCGAATTTCCTGCAAAGTATCAATCATCTTATGGCAAGATCAGCACATATCAGGTGCTAGATCAGGTGTTTTCAAAGTTGCTACTATCAGAGAATCTATTCCACATAGAGTTGTCTGTCAAGCGACCTCTGTATGTTTACCAGGAATTTTTTGAGTATTGGAGATGATGCAATCATGAATGTAGCCTCACTTCAGGCAGTCAGGTATGTGGAGCCTTGCAATAGCAGCAGGAAAACTACTGTGTTCTAATCTAAACTACCTCAAGCACTCTGCTACCACCATGAGATTAGTAATAGAGTACACTGTCTTTCAAAGACATTTTGTCCTCCATTACTGATCTTTTCCTTGTGAGGAACTGCTGATATGCTTTTCATTAACCTCAGTGTTCCTAGAACACAATGGAAAATGTCTACTCAATATTGCAGTGAACTTGCTGTTAGCATGCCCTAAACGTGCATAGCCTGATGCAGAAATCTTAGGTTCAAACTCAAGTGTGCAATAAATTGCTTCACAGTGCCCATATTAAAAACAATCCAATGAAAAATGGTCGATATTTTCCCCCATTTTACAGATGGAAGTTCAGCTTAGAGCTATTTGTTTTCCCAAGGTCTTCCAGCCAGCTCATAGTTACAATAGGATTTGAACCAAAATTTGTGGGTCAAAATCATCTGTTTGAGACACAAGATCATCTGAAAAGTGTAAAATCATATCTATCTATCTCTACAACAGTACCAACTTGAATAAAATATTGGGGGGGGGGGGCGTAAGCCCTGCCTAGCATAATTGATCACATGATGCAGTGCACGCACACCGTTTGAATGGCAATGCCCATCAACTTGGGGGGGGGCAGGCTTAAATATTTTAGGGGGGGAGACTCCTCAGCCCCTATGTATCTCTGTATATGGGTAACAGTGAATAATGTGTGTAGAAAACCACATGCTATAGCTGGGAGGAAAGGAACACCAGGAGACAGATTTGTGGGTTAAACATGGCCACAACTTTGTTGATTCCAGTATATCAGAATTGAGCATGGCATTGGGCAAGAACTGAGCCATCATCAAGCAGAGCACTTGCTGGCTTATTCCTCTTTGAAGCTCACTTCTGAGGCAACCAGACAGGAGTTGCTAGGTTCTGTGATGTCACAGACTGTCCTTGTGGGCCCTGCCAGCAAGCTGTGTGCATAGCAGCTGGCTACAATGCCTGAAGCCTTAGGGTGCCAGCTGCCTAGAGCCCTTCTGGGTGTTGTTCATAAGCTAAGCCATCCCGCACCAAAATTATATAAGTAGAGGTGTATGTTCTATTATTATAATAGAGAAAATAATACATCCTGTCACTCAGACCAATGTTTTACCTGTTTGAGTAAGTACATAATGTTGTCTTATTCTTACTAATAGTCCCCAACCCACACAACAATAGCATATTTATTGAGCCTTTTGTTTTACTACTCATTATCAGATCCTACAGTTTGATATAACCTGACTTTTTTGCTTTTTTTGCTGCCATATCATATTTTTAAAAGCATGGGGGGGCAGCCATATTCAATGCATTCCTTAAATTAGGACTCTTGTCTACTGTTATTACAAATTACTAGTTTAAGGAATGTCAGAAAGACCTTTTAAACAGTGTGTGGATTATTGTTTTTGGTTTTTTACTACAATATGTATTTCTTTGTATTTATATTGCAAACCGCCCTGTGATCCTCAGATGAAGGGCATTATAGAGATGATGATGATGATGATGATGATGATGATACAGCACATCTAACATTTATTTCTTCCTTAAAGAGAACAGGGCAGCATGTTCCTGTTGCTGTTAATCATCATTTTGCCCTGTCAGCCCTTAGAGGCATACTGTGACAGAATGGATTTGAGATGCACCCATGCATGCGCACACACACACACACACACACACACACACATACCTCAAGCACACAGAATAAGAACACACACATAGGAGATACGTACATCAAGCCATAAATGTGACTGAGACTGGTTCTTTTTAAAGGAATCTGCTTCCTGTTAATTTGCATGGCAATCTTACAAAGAAAAATATCATTATCATTTTTATCTGACACAGTCAAAGGGATTAACTTTCCTTTAATTAAGGAAATAAATTTGTAATGTGTTTTCCTGTAAAAGGCAGGCCTTTTTCTTAATGTTAACGGAATGGGTGCAGACTTTAAGAGTAGTCTGTGGTATCAGCCGTTTATGAGAAAAATAAAATGAAAGGCACCTTATTCAAAAGCTTTGTCCAAATGTTGTTTCTGATTATCAGATAAGAGAGATTTTGCAAATTTTAAAAGAATCCTGGCTTGATATGTTCCCTTGAACAAACTGACCAGGATTGTCCATTATGGAACTAGGTATGTCAGCAATCTTGAAGCTGGTTGCTAAAACAAAACACTGGGTGTGGTGTCATTGCATTCTGAGCCCCCACCCCAGCCCACCCTGCAAGGGTCAGTCAGTGGAGTGGAGTGGAAGCAGAAGATGGAGCATGATGGCATGATTATATCATCTCTAAAGGGAAAAGGATACGGTATATAGGTCTGCTATTTTCAGCAGCAGCCTGAAAGCATCTAGTTCTGTTCCCGAGGTGTTCGGTTTGCACCTCTTTCCTTTCCATTAACGATTCACCATGGTCATGCTATTGCAAGAATTACTTAGCTGGAGTAAGTCCCACTGAAGCTGGATTGCCTTACTTCCAAGTAAACATTATGACTGTGCCGTCAGTCATAGACCTATAAAACTGGAGTAGACTAGAAGCTGAACCTTTTGTCCCCAAAGTAGAACCCTGCTGCACGTCAGTTCTTTGCAGATAAATCCTGACAGCTCTCCATCACAGATAGACAGCAAGAAGGTGGGCCGCATCAAGGAACTTGCTTCACAGAATCCAAATGACTCTATAGAATGAGTAATGTTTTAACTTACAAAGCTCAAAGCAGGTAGAATAGCTGGTTTATAGGTTATGTGAAGCTTAATATAGAAGCTGAAGTGTCCTTGTGGGTTGAGAGGTCTTTAGGGATATTGTATCAAATGGTGTACTGTACTGGGCTGCATTGGACAATGCAGCATTGGACCCTGCTGGTGCCAGTTAGTTTTGTTTTTCTATATTCAACAATGCAGAAATGCAAGGACATGGGGAATACATTGATTTGTATAAAGGGGGGATCTGAAAAAAGAAAATGTCAGATTTTATCTATCTTATTCTCACTTGGTGGTATTTTGCTACTTAAATAACATTAATTTCAATGGAACTAGCCCAAAGCGATGTAGCGCTTAACATGATTGATGACACCAGCTTCTTCTACGTGAAACGGAACAATATCCAAGTTAATACAGCATACTTAACATGGGCCATCTAGAATCACACAAACATTTCACACCTAATATCATAATGCTGGTGAATAAGAATTAATATAAACAAGGCATCCCGCACTGTACAAAGCAGAATTTCAGCTTTTCTCTCTCCAGTACTCATGCAAAAAACAGAACTCTTTCCCTCAAATTACTGGTCGTATTTCAGACTGAAATATTTTCCAAATATGAAAGTAAAGATGACAGAAATAATAGTTGTTTTCTTTATCTACCATTTGCATTATAACTGAAAGACCAGAAAAGAGCAAAGAGTGAAACAGACTTTTCTTCTTCAGTTAAATTAAGGTAGCAGCCAAATATACACTTACTTGGGAGTAAGGCATTGAAGTAAATCAGGCTTAATTCTGAGTAAATATGTATGCTGGTTGAGCAATATTTGTCTCTCAGTGAAAATCTCAGAATGTTAAAATGTTACCGTGTGTGTGTGTGTGAATATGTATACACATTATTTAACTCAGAAAAAAGCAAATATGAGCGGTGAACATGAGAGCAGGTGGGAATGTAACCTTGAATATTCATATCTCTCTCTCTCTCTCTCTCTCTCTCTCTCTCTCTCTCTTTCTCTCTCTCACTCACACCACCATCATCCTTCAAAAGCAACCCCAAAAGGTCTCTGCAAATATACCCAACAAACTCTAGAGCAGCCCTGCCTTCTGACCCATCAAGCCAAATGAAGCACACTGCCAATTTTTATGGCCAACATGGAGTTTGATAAAAGCTACCAAGTTATTTACAAAGAAACGGGGGCAGATGATAAAATATGTCTTGTGAGCTTTCTGGATGATGAATTCTACAAGCCTGCTCTATTACTAACTCCACACACCAATGAAAAACTTATATAACAGATTTAAGCCTCCACCCGCATCTAATTTCCTGGCTGAGTGTGGACAGAAGGATAAAAGAACAGCTATAATTATGACACAGAAAAGGGTGAATGCTTCGGTTTAGTCCACCCATGTATATTACTAAATATTTGCAAACATTTTCTCTCTTTGTGGTACACTATTTATTATAAACACAACCTTTTAATGGACCATAATTTCAAAGAAGAGGGAACCATTTATCCCTTTTCTTTTGCAGTGGTAGTTTTGTTGTGAGCCTGTTCAACTAATGATGGGCATTTGGAGGTGGGGTATGCAACACAGGTGAGAATCTGCACAATCTACATTTGCAATCCATTACATAAAAGCACATTGCTGATTTCTAAATCTTTTAATTTCTTTGCCTCAAACATAAAACAGGAGATAAGATCAGAACTCCAAGATGAAAAGTCTGGAAGATGTTTTACTTTTATGTTGCTGCTACTAGCCCAAGACATGAAAACTCTTAGGTTTCTATGGCCCAGTGCAAGCACAGAGGGAGAAAGACTCTGGTTGCTAAGCAACTGTGATCCTTTCAGGGAGCTGAAGTAAAACAAATTGGCTGGTGCCAAATGGCCTTTCACCTGCTTCTTTAAAGTAAAATTAAAGTAGGAAACTTACACTGAAAGGAGCCAAAGGTACCAAATCTGATCACAATCTTTAAAAACCAGACCTTAGAAACTTTTATAAATTGGGGAGTGCAGAAACTGTTCTTTCTAATCCCCAACTTCGTTCTTATCTTCAACAAAATATAAAGGCTGGTAAGTGCTTTCAGTTCTGTGTCTCAGGATTTTTTTAGAACAGCAAAAAAGTAAGGTTTTCCAATGATGCTGGACATAATAATAATAATCCCCTACATGATGTGTAAGTGCATTTCAAATACATTTTTAATTACTTACAAAAATTGTATAGCCTGCCTTTTTGCTGGTTTGTAAATTAATGAAATTAAGTGACTTAAAACCATCACTTTCAATGGAACTGCTCTATGATTTACTTGGATATTACCCTTAGGCAACACTGCATGTCTGAATTCTGAGGTGCAGTTCCTTGGGGATAAAGCTTTATTGAACTCAAGAAGATTTAATTCCGCTAAAGATGCATAGGTTTGGTTTTACTATGTGATGTCATTAACTTAACCTGGAGCTGAGTCTTACTTAATCCTAGCAAACAGGTTTTTAGATATTATTTGTTGACAATATTTAACCCTTTTCATCACACAGTTACCCATTGGCATGGAACGACACCAAACATTATTTGATTCATGTATATTAGGCAAATATTTCACTTGAGAAGTTATCCTGGGTAAAACTGGTATGGCTGCTTTGCTAGTCATCCTAAGATTCTTTGCCCCAGATATCTTTTTTTCCTTGAAGCATGTCAAGAAAGGTACATGTGGAAGGGATGTTATTTTTGAATACCCAGTTCGAGACACCTCTCCTTTTTCTCTGTGCCATGCTTCTCCTCCAGTGTTTTTGCTTGGACAGTTACCTATGACACTTGGTTGTGTTCTTGAAAAGATGTCAGTTTTAAGTAACAGCTAGTCTCACACTAGATGACTATTTCTAAACATACCATTCCTTGACAAATGGTTCTACCTCCACAACATTAGCAGATGATGTGGTGCCAGCTACACTGCTATGTCACGAGTAGGCCACAGAAATGTATGGGCCACAGAAATTGGTGTTCCTTATTAACTACACCTGTCTAACAGGCTGAGGAAAAAATGACTTAAGTTCTACATTACAGAAGCTGATTTATTAGCTCAGTAAAACTGCCCTAAGGTCCAATTGCCTATAAAAGTTTGTCGTGTTCCTGAGCCTCTGTGATTTAGATCCTGTAAGCAATTCAGACAGATGAGATTGCATAACTGAGACATGCATCTCGAGGCAACTTCAGTGTGTTCACTAAAGCAGAAATCAATTAGTATTCATTGTAAAATAAGATTCTACTTAGTTCATTGTTATATAAGAGAAGTTTAATAGTTGACACAGATCACATTTAGCAAAGAAATTCATTTCTACTGCTGAGGAAATCTGGGCATTGTCAATAATCTGTATCTCAGAAACAGTGATTTTACTCAAAATAGACTAAATTAGGTTCATTAATTTTAGTGGGTCTACTTTGAGTAAAACTTGGTTGACTAGCACACATAATATTGTGTTAACTTCAACATCTTTGCCATATGCCCATGCATTTAATGTAGGAAAGATTAAACTTGGATGTGTACTGGCCGACCTAAAGGAAGTAAGACATTTTTACTAGATCTGAGTTGGATAAAAAAGAAAGATTAAATGGAAATCAAGTTATATAATGTTTACTAAAAACAAATAATAATAATATTGTGGACAATATTATTAAGTTTTTTTTACAGATGTGAGGAACCTTTGGCTCTCCAGATGTTGATGAACTACAACTCCCATCCTCCCCAGCCATCATGGCCAATGGCCAGGGGTAATAGGAGCGGTAGTTCAGCAGTATCTGGCCAGCCACAAGTTCCTCATATACGGTCCTCAGAGGTCTGCACTGTTGTCTTGCAGCCTTCCACTTCTGCCTTGGGACTCACCTTCAGCCAAACTTTCCTAACTTCAGCATTGCTGTGAGAATAAAATGGGGAGGAGGAGGAAAACTATGAACAGCAGCTTGAGCTCACTGGAGGAAAGTGCATAGGAGATTTGGAAAAACTGTACTAATTTGAGAAATGTGTTCCTTTCAGTGCTAAATAAAAATAATAAATTTCAAGCCGAATCACCAATAGAATAAAAACACTTAAATAGACAAATGAGCTTTGGGATTTTGCAGTAAGTGAACAAAAACACATGAACACTAATTTCTTAAACTGGCTAAATTTTACGTTACAGCAGTGCATACTATAACGCAGGAAAAGCCCTAGATTGAAAAGAAACAAAATACTGTAAATATATCAGCAAAATTAGAAAGCACCACATGGGGTGCAATTAAGCATTTCAACTGAAACTAGGAGATAGAAGAAAGTTTCTATGTTGCCCAAGAGACCTAGAACAGTGACATTACTTTTGGTGAAGGAGTGAACCATAAAGTTGTGGGGGTGAATGACTTACTAGGTCAAGACAAGTTTAGTATAAGACAGCTGGAGAAAGAAATTATTACAGCAGATTTCTGTGGTGTTGTCAATTATTGCTTTATTAGACCATTAATGTTTGAAATCACCTCACTTTCTGACTTTAATGTTTGCAACTTTAATTAGTTAACAGTTGCAGAAGCCTTAAGAAACCATTAGTGTTAAATCCTGGATAACCCCTGATGTGCAGCTGTTCAGTCAAATAAGATGGCAAAGTTCCTCCACCAACTTTTCAGAACAGAATGAAAGCAACTGCAGATTGCTGGCTACAGTATGAAAAACAATGGGCCTGGATACATATTTCTAGTTATTGGACCAAATTCATGTGGCACCTGGAGTTATATAGGGCTCCTGTTGCCTTGGCTCAGCACACATATATTACCTGGTTTCATAGACAGACATGTCTTCACTAACACACATCCTGGTACTATGCCCATTTACTCAGATGTCTCACTGAGATCAATAGTAAGAATCTGCATAGAACTGCAGGCCACATTTTCTATAATATCGAATAGTATGGTGAATACAGCATGTGGTAGTTTTTAAAAGTAACAAAACTATGTGACAGATTAGGAAACCAATGCTGGAGGCTAACGCTACAAAAATGCAATGTAGTGGAACCAATATATGGCAGGGAAAATTAGATATGTTGACAGATGAAATTGTCAGATTTAGAGAAGCTGATATGGGGAATGCTGAAATGTCCACTGTTGGGCTAATGGTCCAACTGAAACTAACAAATTTAAGAAACATAATAAGCTTCCTTATACTAGGTCAGACTATTTGTTCATCTAGCCCTGTTGTCTCAAGCTGTAAAATGCAATGTTTGCACAATTTCCTCCCTAAATTAGGAAGACAAGCAAAGAGCAATCCAGATTCTATTTACCTTCTGCAGAACTATAAAAACAGACAACCCACAAGGGCAGTCCTAAACCTAAACATCTACTCCAGGAATAAAGAACTTGAGGCCTTCTAGAATTTGAGACCTTCTACCCTTGCTCTAGTCTAAGCAGGAATGTGGCAGCATCCCCCACCTAAATAAAACATTAGGTCCATAAGCATTTTTTTCTTTAAAAAGATAAGGCAGATTTCCTATACTAATTGGTAATAATTGGTATCTTATCTAAATTACAAAAAAAATTACTGCACAATCATTCAGTTTTCAGCTCTGAAAACACTAATTTTGATAGTGAACTCCGTCTGGCAACTACACTTTCACATGTTTTGTGGAATGGATTCAATCAGGAATAACTATCACACAATGGCATATAGGTCCTGCTGGAGATGACCTCAAAGGCCGTAATATATTGGGACTTAAAAATAATGAAAATGCAGAAGTCTTGTGCTAGGCTTTATTGGAATGTCAATATTTTATTGATGCTGTGTGAGTAGGGAGGGATATGTAAATGCCCTGTTAATGGTTATGACTGGCATCATGTGCCCTTGCACATGTCTAGTGATTATTATTAGTTTTGTTTTAAAGGTACACATGCACAGGTACAGGAATATGTGGAAGGGTAGTGGATGGCAGGGAGAAAGTGATTAAGTGGAAGGACAAAAAACACAGCATGAATACATTCTGTTAATTTCCATCCCCTGGTACAGACAGCAAATAAGTATAAGTGAAAATACAGAATATGTCAAAGCTAACATGTCTATTTTGCACTAATAAAAAACTGGAACTGAACAACCTATTTGTGATATAAAACCTCCATCTGGAGGCATCTGTAGTCCAACAACATTTGGAAGGCCACAGGTTTCCCAGTCTAATCTAACATCAGTTCTTTATTATTGGTCATAGATCATGATATACATGCTAAGAAAGTTTCCCTGGATTCTAAAAGGGGGGAAAATCAATATGATGTGTTTTCTCTAAAATATATTTATATTCAGCAACATCCTCTTCTGCCAGCCACTTGCTGGCCCAAGCTATCCCAACAAATAGAAGATGCTTATTTCAGTCATCTGAGGGTTTTCCCATGGACAGTTTGTGAAAAT